AGGAAGGAGTTAAGAAGGAAATGAAAGTGTTCCAAGGTCCTTGTTCTGTGCCTAAGAAGGATAGAAATATTAATTTTAGACTTTATTAGAAAAATATGAAATTAAGTAAATTTGTTAAAAATTTAAGGAAAATTATTATTAAAATGTAAACTTCCAAACCAGTGGAAGGAACAAGACAAATAAAGCCAAATTGATCAGTTTAACAGAAGGCAGAAAAGTAGAAAAGGGGAAAAGCAAAGAAAAAGCATGTCAAAGAAACACTTTAAAGAAATGATAGAAATAAGTCCAAATAAATCAGTAGTCAAGATATATATAAATGGATTAAAATGTCTATTAAACTCTAGTGCTATACTGCTTACAAACAGCACATCTAAAACATAAGGATATAAGACAGCTAAAAATAGAAAGAAGGAAAAAGATATACTGGAAAATTAATCAAAAGAAAGCAGTCATAGCAATAAACTCAGGTAAAATAGACTCCCAGGCAAAAACCATTAGTAAGGATGAAAAGCAGCCTATTTACTGACAAAAGAGCCAACCACCAAGAAGATATAACAATCATAAGCCTGAATACTTCTAAACAGCACACTGTCAAACTAAAGAAAAAATTAATAAAATTACCAGGGAAAACAACACATCCGCAATTATGGTGAGACGTTTTTAACACACCTTTCTCAGAACTGGTAGATCAAACATCCAAAAAAAAAATCAAAGATAAACATTTGAAAAATATAATTTCTAAGTCTGACCATATATGTAATATATATGTATATGATGGAGGAAGCCTCAACAAATCCTAAGGAATAAATATCATACAGAATGCATACTATGGCCACAATGTAGCAAATCTAGAAATCAATCGTGAAAAGGTAGACTCCACCCCCAAGAAATACATTTGGAAACTAAAAAAAATTCTTCTAAATAATTCACAGGTTTAAAAGGAAATTATGATGAAAGTTACAAACTATTTAGAACTGAACAATGGAAATACTGCATCTCAAAACTTATGAGATGCAGCTACAGCAGCATAGTTAGAGGGGAATTTATAGCCTTAAAAGCACGTTAGAAAATAAGAACTAGAGCTTGAGAGCCTGAACAAAAGACAAAGATGGTAGAAGAAAGAATATAATAACACAAAAGTAGTAGAAGAAAGGAAATATTAAAACTAAAAGAGAAAGAAACAATAGAGATGCTCACTAAAACCAAAAACTACTTTTTTTAAAGACTAATAAAATATAGTTTTTAAAATATACAAACCTTCAGCAAGATTGATCAAGAAAGAGCAGGAAGGCATAAATATACGGTATTAGGAATGAAAAGGGGGGGCATAACCTATGGATACTATAAAATTATAGTACTAAGGCAAAGAACATTTGTGCCCCAAATTTTGAAAACTGTCAATTTTTATTAAATGGTCCATTTTTTTGGAAAATATAAATCACTACAATAGACAAAAAAATAAAACCAGAATAGATCAATAACCACTAAAGAAACCGAAGCTGTAGTTCAAAAACTTTCTCCTATCCCCAAAAGGCATCAGGTTCCAATAGTTTTATGGGCAACCTTTACTAAACCTTTAAGGAATAGACAATTCCTACTTTACACAAATTGTTTCAAAGAACAGAAACACAGAAAATGCTACCAAACTCATTTTAGGAGTCTAGCATAACCTTAATACCTGAACTGAATAACAACAATAAAAACAAAATCATAGGCCAATGTCACTTATGAACACAGATATAAAAACCTTAAATAAAGTAATAACTATTAAAAAATCCAGCAACATATATAAAAATAACACAGCAAGACAAAAACTGCTGGAGGTCCATCTATCTCTTCTTCTTTTTGTCTTTAGCCATAAGAACCCTGCTTTTCAGCCATGTGCTCTGCTCATTGCATGTTACTTCCCAGCTAAAAAACTATTCCAAAGCCCCCCTTGCAGCTAGATGCCACCATGTCATGAGGTTTCAGCCAATGTGATGTAGGTGAAAGTGTTGTAACTTTCAGGAAGTCTTCTTAAAAAAGAAGGACTGAATCCCTCCTCCTCTCTTCCTCCTTGGTACCACTCAGAATGCAGACAGGACAGCTGGAACCTGAACTTCAGCTCCTTGAGATGAGGTGATAAACAAAGGGTGGAAGAGCAGCAAGATAGAAGGAGTCTGCGGTCCTGACACTGCACTTCCACATCCAGGCTTTTTCTTTTCTTAACTGAGAGAGAAATACACTTAAGACACTATTGAGGCCCTGTTACTCACAGCCATACTTAATCCAAACTGGCAACAGTGTCAAGCAGGGTTTCTCCCAGGAATGAAACAATGGGTCAACGTGGAAAATCTATTAATATAGTTCACCACATTACAGATGAAAGGAGAAAGCATATGATCATCAAAGTCAATCCTGAAAAAGCACTCAATAAAATTCCACTCTCATTTTCTATTTAAATAAATAAATAAATAAAAACTCTTAGCCAACTAGGAATAGAAGGGAATTTCCTTAACCTGATAAATAGTATCCATCAAAATCGGTAGCAAATATCATCATACTTATGAGCGGGGCTTGAGAAGCATATCCACTGAAGTCGGGAATGGGACAAGAGTGCTCCATTCAACAGCGACCTGGAAGTCCTATCCAAAGCATTATCACAAGAAAAAGAAATGAAAAGAATATAGATTTAAAAGGAATATCTTCATTTGCAGAAAATATAACTGACTATATAAGAAAACCCATCAAGACTTTCAGATAAACTATGAGATCTCCTATGAGAGAACAGCAAGGTTGCTGACTACAAAATCAATATTCAAAGGTTAGTCCTGTTCCCATACACTAACACTGTCCATTTATAAAATACAATAGGAAAAAAGATCCCCCACCCAAGAGCCTCTATAGTGCAAAGGACTATCACCTTTCTTCTGGATCATGAAAAAGTCCTGCTTACTAGCCTCCCCATGCCCACTATTGCTTCCCTCGAATTCATTCTCCACTCAGCAGCTAGTGACCTTCTGTAAACATAAATTAGATCATGTCACACTTCTTCTTGAACCTTTTAATGGCTACTCATTAGTTATAACTACATTCTAGTTCTTCATCATGCCCATGCCTATTCTCCATTCCACTCCCTCACCACTCCCCCATCCCATTCCACACCAGCCACATGAACGTTCTTTCAGTGCTTGATGCATGTCAATCTTCTCCTGCCCCAGTACCCTCACATATGCTATTCTCTCTTCCCGGAACACTTCCCCCACATCATCTTCCGAGGGTTCCTAGTCAATCCTCAAGTCTCAGCTCAGATGTCACCTGCTTAACCTAAATAAGATCCCTTCCCTCTTAGCTCCTGCTTTTTTCTTTCATGTTCCCACCATAATGCATAGTAATATCCCATTACATATTATACCATAATGTGTAATTGCATTTTTATTCATAGATTATTTATGCATTACCTTGATTCCCTTCTAGACCATAACTTCTATGAGGGCAAGAGTCATATCTTTGACATTTCCCTGAGCATTTAACAGGAGCTGTCATATAACAGATGCTTAATAAGTATTTTCTGAACGAAGGAATCAATGACTGAATGACGGAGTTTGCTGATTTAGCTGAAGTCTCAGTAGAATGCCTGCTGCTCTCTAGGAGGGGGCCTCCAGGGTTCCACCTGGATGAGGAACCAAGAAACCTCATGAGGGAGCGAGTGGGCACACACGGGCTTGGTTTATGGTTCATGGGGTAGAATTAAGAGTTGGGGGCAAGATTCTGAACACAGAGCTGCATCCATCCACGACTTCAAACCCACCTCCCAAGAGCACATGTCATGGACTTGCGGAATTGAGTTTGCCCGAAGTGCTACTTTTCTGTGATTTTGGTGAAATATCAAGAATTTGGAGGACAGCAGCTTTCAGGAGGGATGGGGACAACAAGGGAGGCTTTTTGCCACCCTTGGTGGAGGCATTTACAGCCTCAGGAGCATATGGAACTGCAGGAGCTAAAGTAAGAGTAGAGAAAAATGGTGAACCCCACAGGAACCCCAAAAAGACTTGATCAGACACCCACACACAAGACACCCCCAGGGGTTCCCAGAAATAATTGGATGAACTTTAGGGGAGAGCTAAAGGTCCAAAACCACGGCAAGTGGGAACAGAGCTGTGAGGGACTGCCACTGAGACTCTAGCTTTATCCCTCCAATGGGTATGGCCTGAGACAGGCAACACAGATTACCATGAAACTCTTACAGCCAGCCCCAGGCAGGTGCCCAGACACCATACTTAGGGCCACTGGCCTGGTAGCATTGCAGCCCAGAGGGCCAATGGGCCACTGAGACATGGTCATTAGAGAAAGCATCTTCCCACAGGAACCCAACAACGGGGGGACTCCTCCCAGTATTCCCTCCAGAGCTTGCAGTGCTCATTTTTCAGTTGGAAATTAAGGAAGCAATGTTTCTGAGGCCACCTAATGCCAGAATAGTGGCTGCTGGTAATTCTACCATCTCGGGTACACCACAGACGCAGCCATATAATAGGTACCCCCGACTGGTTAAATGCTTGTGTGAGCCAAATGAGGAGGAGTGTTATATCTGCCAGGGGCCCCTGAGAGGCAATCTTCATGTTTATTTGTTTCTTTTTGAGCTCACATACTTGTACGCCACGGGAAGTAACGAGGGACTGGAAAAATCCTCTGTAAAGGACCATTGTTCGAGGCCTGCTCAGCACCCACCTGCTATCTCTCCCTACCAGCTCCTTCCCCCATCACTGTACATCTCCTGTCCACCTCAGGGCACCTGGGACAGGCATGGGCATAGGAAGAATTCACTTTAGATCCCATGACTGCCCTGGTGACATCTCTGTGAATAACCTCTGTGGCTGCTCTGACTCTTCCCTCAATAAAAGGGCGTGGTCTCACGTCCAGGAAGAGAGTGCAAGCAGGGAGACCCCGCCAGGGAGGTCCTTATGCAGCCCTCTCTCCGCTTCTCCCACAAGAAAGCCTGAGATGCCCCAACTCGGACCTACCTCTTGTCCTCTTCCACCTGTACGCCGATGGAGTGGAACTCTCTTCGACTCCTGTTCTCCGTGTCCGAGTCCGAGATAGTCTCCACCTGGTGGCAGGGTTGGGGAGTCAGTGGCCGGGGCCAGACCAGGGACGCAAGCCCTTCCCAGGGAGAAGGGACAGCAATGTCTGAGCCCCAAGCCAGCTGGCAGATTCTGCAAAGACAATCTGCCTGAACAAGATGAGAGACCCAGGTGGTCAGAGGCATCAAGGTGGCAACCTCTGGGCACCGCTCTCCACTCGCCAGTAGGGGTGATGGTGTCAGGATAAAGGACAGGGAGTGAGCTGGGGCTGGTTAGAGCAGCCCCGTCGATGACCAGGCACTGGGGACCACCTGCAGCTCAGAGCAAGCCAGGAAAAGGCCTATGTATCCAGAAGGCCCAGTGACATCCTCAACCCATCCCCGACCGCCCAGGGCCTGAGTTTTCGTCGGCGCCTCCTCCTTTCATACCTGCACCCCAATGGACGGCCGCCACTTCCGCTGCCGCGCCAGGCTCCGCAGCTCCTCCCTGCCAGGAATGGTCTTGATGATGAGTGTGGGGGGCTTGGGGCTGGCCCGGGGGGGCACCGGCGCCAACTCCAGGGTGCGCGCGCCCATGGCGGGGCCGTCCAGCCCGTCGGCGGAGCTGCAGCGCCGGGCGGGGCCCTCGGCCGCGGTGAAGCTCTCGTGGGCGGAGTCGGTGCTGCTCTGGGCGGTGATGGAGATGCGGGGCGGGGCCTGGCTTCCCGGAGGGATGGGGGGCGGGGCCTTTCTGAAGTTGAAGGCTGCGGCCAGCGGCGAACGCAGAGACGCAGCGGGTGAGGAATGCGACCGGGTAGGTGCCTGTGGCCGACCACCCCACACACCTACGCGATGCCACAGGACCCAGCAGCCACAGGTACTCCACGTGCTGCTAACCCACAGAGCCAAGGATTGTTCTCCCCATCATCCGACCCAGAGAGGCAAGCAATCTGCCAAAGGTCACACAGCAAAGCTGTGGCGGGGGCCAGAACCAGAATCCAGGGCGCTCTCCAACCTAGAGCGGGGCCGAGGCAGAGAGGGCGTACTCACAGGAGCCGGGCCTCCCTGAGACAGAGGCAGGGGCAGCAAGGAGGGGCAGGCAGTCGTCGTCTTGAGAGCAGCCGGCCTGGATGGCCCGGAGGTAGCTGTGGCTCCGCATGCGGAAACAGCCGGGCAGGTCCAGGGCGTCCACAGCCTGGGACTCAAGCTCCCCAAACACGGACCCGCACACGGCCTCCAGCTGCTGGTTCAGCTCCTCGCTGAGCTGGGGGCAGGGCCCAGGAGGACAGTTACTGGGGTGCTGGCATGGGGTGGGCCCTCCCTGAGGCACTTTGCCTTAGTAATATATCTAGATCTGCAGACGCTTATCTCTGTGTCACTCTTCTGCACGGACTAAAAGAAACGCTCTCTCTGCAAAGAAAGGTGGAGGCACCCGTGCCCTGTGCTGCTTCCCAAAATGCAGTGGGGCCCACCTTGGGGTCCAGTCTTTCCTCTAAATACTCTTCCCTCCCCCCCATCTATGCTGTTCCCAGATGTCTGGCTGTGCCCCAGCCTCCAGATCACCAGTCTTCCTCTCCATCTAGTCCCGGCCCCTGATGTTTCTCACACCTGACCCCAAGGGAGAGGACTAGAGACCTGACACTCACCCTCCTGCCCAGTATGGCTGTACAGGATGGGTGCACATTTGACCCTGAGCTTCAGGGCAGCCAAAGCATCAAGGAACGTAGCCTGTGAGTTGCCAGCACAGGCTATGGAGTGAGACCCACCTGGACTCAAGCACTGGCTCTGCTACTTCCTAGCAGTTTGGCCTGGGAAAGTTACCTGAAGTTTTTGGGTCTCAGTTTACTCACCTGTCAAATGGGAGTGGTAATGGTACCATCTTCATAGGGCTATTTAGAAACACATGTGAGGCACTGGGTGCAGGTACTGGCACATAGTAAGCACTCAGTCAGTGGCATGTGAAGGTCTCAGGGCCTACCTGGTAAACACGGGTCACCACCCATGAGAACCTTGACTATTCATGTCACTGAGCCCAAGAGAAATTCTCCCATGGGTGATTATGTAGAGACCATTGGATGAAATGACAGACAAGGTCCTCAGTAGCATCCACATGGTGAATGTGACAGGAAATATCCCATGGCTGCATCTTGTGACATCTCCCAGGAAAGACTCATGGCATCATATTTATGTGTGATCAACAGAGGCCCAAAAGAATGGCTTGATCCGTGTGTAGAAGGCAACACAGCCTCCAAAACATAACATGATTTCACTAGATTCTACCTCAGACTGAGCAGGAATTTCCATCCCATTCTACCAATGGCAAACTAAAGCTCAGAGAGGGCAGATGAATTTTCCAAGGATGCCCAGCTTGTAAGTGGTAAAACCAGAGTTAAATGCCAGGTTTCCTGGCTCTCTGCCAGGCTGACTGAGCATCAGAATCTCCTGGGGAGCTTGTTAAACCTGCATTAACTCAGGCCCCACCCCAAGGATCTGAACCCAGGGCTCTCAAACTATATGCCTCTCTTTGCTTTGGCTGCTCTAAAGCTCACGGCCAAATTTGCTAGAGATTCAGATTCCGTGGTTCCAGCGTGGGCCCAGTAATTAAAAAGAAGGATGGTCTGGACTTCTTTCTGAAGCTTTTTTTAAAGGAACTTCATTACAAGAAATCATAGACCATGGAAAAATCAATCCAAGATCCTGTAGAAGTTCTCCCATATTTGACTGGCACAAACCATGCCCCTGTGGCAGCTGTGGCTTTCACCACGACTGCTTGAGTCCACCTCTCAGTTTCCTATCTCTGGACCTGTGAGGTACAAAGGACCAGCAAATACCTGGCTATTTCCTGAAGCTCAGGAGCTGATCTAATTCCTGCTAATTCTAGACCAGGCTCAGGAAACTCCCCAACTAGAACCAATACAGACCAGAGGGTCCTGCCCAGAGCACAGGAGAGCTGACCTAACCCCAGCAGAAAGTGTTCTGGTCTCAAGTCTGGACACCAGGAATGGAAGGACTCTCACTCTGTGGCTTATCTCTGTATCTCCATCCCTCTTTCGTGTGTAAAGAACTAGGCATAATATCTTGCATACAGCAGATGCTCAATAAGCATTAGCTACTATTATTAGTAGCAGGAGGTTCTGAAATCACAGTGACAATGCTTCTGAGACGCCTCTCTTTCCCAGGGGTTCTGAAGCTTTTGAGATCCCAGGACCAATGCCATTCAAGGCAGACAGAGGGAGGGTGAGAAACTCCCTGGGGCCACACACCTTCCATCTCTACAGGCCAAGAGGAGCTTCTAGAGTTCCAACAAGGAACCAGGACCCAAGGGAAATGTGGGCTTATACAGACTCTCAGAGGAATACTGCACCTGAGTTGATCTTGACTGTATCATGATTATAAAATTATAACATTGTACTGTGAATTCTCCCTTTACCCCTGCACTGCCTTCCACTCTGCCCCTCCCAACCCCCTGCTTTCAGGAGAGTCAAAGTCAAAGAATCCTCTTGGGAAATGAGAACCTTAGTCTTTCTCCAAACCAGCCTCAGAACCAGTAAATATTTCCACGGGTGTGGGACATTTAGAAGAACATATTTTTTGGGGACCTAATTGAAAATTGTTCATGCTAGAGTTGGTGGGTCCATCTGGGGGCTAGACAACATCCTGTATACTTATGTCATTTAGTTTAAATAACCTTGGAAAACCTTCTCATTTCAAAACACTCTAAAACACTGGATAAAATATAACAAATGTTTTATATGCATAGCTGAGCTCACAAGAAAGCCAGTGAAGTCCCAAGGGGACAAAAGCTAAGAAGAGACTGGAAAATCAGAATATTAACTGTGTGAGTCAATGCTGCAAACAGCCCAGTGGAGGTGGGAGGTGGGGCAGGGGTTTCTGGCCTCACTAACCAAAGGGTTTCTCTTTTAACACCCACATGGGTGCAGGAGTAAGGTTTTGGGCTCAGATGAAGCACGGAATTGGAAATGAGAACTTGCATAAAGGTAGGAAAGGAGATGCCTTTGATGCAAAGGTGGACGAAAAAAATCAATTATCAATACACACTGATGATAAAGAAGCTAGTCTGTGGTCCAGGCATTGGAAGGAAAGGAGGCCAATCTCCTATTCTGTATCTATTCAGGACTCGGTGTCTGCATGAGCCTGCATGGGCCAGACCCCCCAAATTAAAAATTAATACAAAATGGTCCCAGACCAAGAATAGTCTAATAGAAGCAATTGCAGAATATTTCCTGGCAGACCCACTCCTAACGCAGGCTGCTCAGGAATCTCACGGATAAAGCTCCATTGAAGATGAACTAATATTAGACTGTGATAATCCCTGCCATGGCCCCAAATCGTCTCTACCTCCTGATGTTCACACCCTTGTGTAGTCCCCTCGTCTTGAGTGTGAACTAGACTTCTAATTCTAATTGGCCCACTTCTAATAAATAGAATGTCACAAATACAAAGGGACGTCACTTCTGACATTAGATTACAAAAGACTGTGGCTTCCATCTTGGATACCTTCTCTCCCTCTCACTCTCAGAGCCTTTGTTCTGGGAGAAGCAAGATGTTATACTGTGAGTAGCCCTCTGGTGAGTCCGACATGTCAAGAACCTGATGTCTGTGGCCAATAGCCTACAAGGATCTGAGGCCTACTGACAGCCACGTGAGTGAGCATGGAAGCAGGTCTTTCTACAACCAAGCCTTGAGATGACTGCAGCCCTGGCCAACACCTTGAGTGAAGCCATGTGAGACACCTGATCCAGGTGGCACCCAGATAAACTGTGCTCAGTTTCCTGACCCATAAAAACTGAGATAATAAATATTTGTTGTTTCAAGACACTATGTTTGGGGGTAATTTATTATGCAGCAATAGATAACTAACACTAACAGTGACCTAAACAAGAACTAAACTTTCATTGAATTAAGCCATTGAGAATTCAAGGTTTATCTGTTACAGTAGCTAGTGTTACCTTAGCTAAAAGAGATTAGCTTTTAAATTATGTTTAAAATTTCTAAAACTCAAAAGATAAAATTAAAAACATAAAAAGAGAATAAAAGCTTTGATCTAAAAAAAAAAAAAAACTAGGAGAATTTGAAAAGGAAACAAATCAGATTTCTAGAAATGAAAAAAAAAGCACTGAAATTAAAAACACAATTCATGAGTTAAATTGTAGATGAGATTTAACTGAAGAGAAAACTAGCAAACCAGAAGATATATCTGAGGAACTTGCCAGAAGGCAGCACAGAGAGGTAAAGAGACAGAAAATATGAAGGAGAGGTTAAGATACATGGAGGATATAAAAAGAAGGTCCCACATAAAACTAATAGGAATTCCAGAGAAGAGACTAGACAGAATGTGGAACAGGCAATACTTGAAGAAATCATGATAGTGGCTGAAAATTTTCTAGGCTTCTGACTTCAGGCATGACAGTGAGGGGGACACCAAATCCTATCTCCCAAGACAACTGTAAATCTGGACAAAAACTGTCAAAAACAATCATTTCATCACTCTGAAAATCAATAAAAGGTGTACAACAAAGAAACATTTACTCATGAAAATTACTGAACTTTGGATAAGAATAGCATAAGTCTATGGTGTCCTTGCCTGGGGCTGCTCCCATTACCCAAGCTCCCAGCTCAATCAGTTGCAACAGTTTAACAAGGGTGGGGCAGGCTGTGAAAACCAGTTGCCTCACTACCACTACCAACGGAACCTCACTTAATTTGGAGCATTGTCAGTTATAGTATCAAGAACAGCAATAGCCAACAGCATTGCTAGGCTGAGGTTTTGGCACTGTTTGGGGCAAACTATGGACTGGAAGACCAGCCAGGGACTTAACAGAGAGTTCCAAGGGTTGAGACAGCCAGAGGGGGTTTGATAAGCTCTCCAAATAACCCAGGTTAACCAGAGGTTGGGTACATGTATACAGAGACCAGAGAGGCCCTGAGTCACCTGCACATCCTTGGCCAATGGAGCCTGTGCACATGTGCAGAGGCAACAGAAGAGAGCCCGGTGAAAAGTAAAAGCCAGGGCAGGCTTGAAAACTGTACTCCTGAAGTTTGTACTCCCTGCCCACACACAGAACCATATGCAGAGACAAGAAGCCTTACTGGCTTGAGGTTTTTGAGCGCAAACTCCAACCAATCTCTAGCTGAATACTGAGCTATGCAGACACAGGAGCAACTCCTAGAAAACCAGGCTTAAAAATAAAAACAAGAAAGAAAAAAGATAGTGGAACCATCAGAGGCCACATTTGGCAGAAA